GGAACTTTGGGAAATGCAAGGTGGGAAAGCTAGGTTTGGAACGACACGCCTCCATCAGGTCGTTCCAACCTTGTGCAAGCTATGGTACGGGAACCCAGCTGGCAGGCAGCTTTCCGCTTGCTCCAAGCGACACACCGCGGGGAGGGAGCACGAGCAGGGGTCTATGACCCTGATCAGGCGCAAGCCCATGAGCAACTCGAGGTGTGGCTGAGAGCCTGGGGTAGAAACCCCACGAGACCATCGAATGAGTTGGCACTGGTCTCCTGGAAAGCCAAACATGTGCCCCGCCACTCATGTTGGTTCCTCTTGGAAAGCTGGTGCCCCCAAGAAAGGAAAAGCTAAGAAGCCCCCACGCATGAGCTGGTTGCCCCAGCCAAAAACCGACAGGAAGAAGCGGATCAACCCTCCAAAGGAAACTGTGGGCCCCCAAAGCTCAAAGGCATTGAGGCGCTGGACCGCATTGGCATGGAAGCAGTACTAGCCAAGCTAGCTGACTCCACCAGGAGGGTCTATGCCTCCGGATGGAAGCAGTGGGCCCTTTTCAATAGTGGGGCTAATGTTCCTCACGGGAGAGGAGCGGTCCGCTCGGTATGAGGACGAGCAGAGGTTGATTAGGTTCGTTGTTTTCCTCCACCAAATTATGGGACGTTCCATAGGAGGCATCCGACAAAGACTTTCGGCTATATGTCCACATCACTGCCAGCTACCCCGACCCACTCACAGGGAAACCCCGGTTTGTGGTCTGCTGTAGCTGGACTGCAGAGGTGGGAAGGGGCCCCAACCAGAAAGCTCCCAGTTACCCCAACTGGCTGAGCCAGCACATCCAACAAATGGGTCTAACTGTGCCAGACCAAGCCATGGTTAGAGGAGCCCTTTTGACTGGGTGGTTTTTCATGCTGAGAGCCAGCGAACTCTTGCCGCGTGGGGATGGATCAGACCCGCTAGATCGGGCGATCCGCCCAGCCGATGTTGCCTTCTACAAGGGGGGTCAAACCTGTTTGGGGACAGTGGCAGATGAAGTGGCGATCCAAGTCAGGTCCTCCAAGACAGACCAGTTCGGTCGTGGGCAAGCTCGTTCACACCACCGTTCCGGTGGGGACCTGTGCCCAGTTGAAGCTTTGGCCACGCTGCAAGCACTTCAACCTCATCGATGGAGAGGTGCGGAGCTTGACAAGCCACTGTTTCGGTATGCTGACCGATCCGGTCTTGACCGCGAGGGGATAGCCCACTTATAATTAAGGTGGCAGCTTTGGCTGCGGGATATCCGGGGGAGCTTGCAGGGTCTCATTCACTCCGTAAAGGGGGGGGCCACAGCTTTCTTCGCATCCACCGGGGATCTTGAGAGGTTGAAGAGATATGGGTTGGACTTCTGATGCCGTTCATGCATATTTATATGAGGACCACACAGCCGAAAAAGACATCTCCCAAGGCATGATAGGTAGCAACGTCATTACCCTGCCTAGTCAGAAAGCCCAAACTGCCGACCGCCCTCCGGTTGGAAACAACCAAGATCGGTCCGATCCCAATCATAGGACTCTAGGCTCGAGATCTTTGTCTTGGGCCCCAGACCGACGGGTGTCCTTCTGCGAACGTGCTGGAAGCTGCATCATGGAAGCAGCCCCAGTTAGCAAGCTGGAAGAGTCACACCTCTTCTTCAAGCACAACCCTGACCTAGACCTGCATCGACTCCTCGGAGTCAGACGAGGGGCCAGCACACCCGAGGTGCTCAAGGCGTTCCGAATGAAAGCGAGAGTGTATCATCCAGACAAACTCAGCCACTTGCCAACAGATGAGCAGGATGAGAAATCCGAAGAGTTTAAGAGGATGTCAACCGCCAGAGATATCCTCAGTGATCCACTGATGGCCGAGCAGTTCCTTCAGTGGCAGGCAGAGTGAGCAGCTACCGCCGCCACCGCAACCAGCGGGTTTTGTTCCACCAAAAGCAAAAGGATCAGCATCATCAGGCGCGCAAGGAACATCCGAGGAGAGTGCAAGAGGAACCCCCAGGCACTTTGAGCGGCCCGCTCAAGCATACCAAGACAAAGGAATGCGAGAGGACCTATGGGCCCCCAATGCCAGGGAGGAGGAGGAGCCATTTCGACCTTCCGGAATGTTTGAGAGAAATCCCCAAACTTACCATGGGGAAGGAACTCAGAACAAGCAAGATATCCGACCCGAGGTGGCTCCCATGGAGGTGGATCAAGGAGCTCAGAAGAAGACCAGCCCAGCCGCGCTGTGGTTGGGAACACCGGATCCCGGTGACAATGCGAACAGTGTGGGAGACCCCTCCCAGGACTATGTGGTGGTCAACGTAGATCCAGACTCCGATGATGACTGGCACGATTTGGTCGATCCGACCAGCTGTGATTGGCCAGAGGTCAGTCAGAACTGGGAGGAGGAGAACACTGCAGACGGTCTTCAAGGAGATCAGAAGAAGGCCAATGATGCCTTCAACCAAAAGGCACTGGATGCAGTGAGAAGCTTCCTTTACCACTACAACAACCAGAAGCTGAGGCAGCAGAGAAAGACCCTGGCACCTATCCCAGAAGTCGAGACTCCTTTGCCTCCAGCAGTCAGAGAAGACTGCTTGAGCGGCGGATCCCCAACAATCAATCTCACCGAGATGGTCTTCCCGCACGCTTTTGAAGCTATGACGTCCAGGGGAAAAGATCCAAGGAGCTATGCAAGGCCCAAACGAGCTGTCAACAAGGACAATAAAGATGAAGACGTCCCCATGACAGAGCAGCCGTCAAAGGACAGCGGGGAAAGCCCTGCCAAAGCGCCAAAGGTCGAGGAGACGAAGGACCAACCCATGACGGAGGAACCTCCACCGTCGGCTGGTCCAGCCAGGTCAAATCCGACCGCTCCGGTCGAGACACCTTTCTTCTCCGCAGAGGAAGTCGACTGGGGAGATCAGGAGGATGATCGAACTCCAGAGGAGCTTCAACAAGATATGGATCTCCTGAAAGAGATTGGTGATCGCATGGAAGCACTTGAAGGCGCCCGCAGAGATGAGGGCGAAGATGAGGGTTTCATCCTGGCAGCGATGCACCGAGTACCTGAAGTCCCTGCAGCTGCGAGCGGATGAAGCTCCACCGCCCACGAAGCCGGGCAAATTCGCAGCTGACATCCGGATGGGTTTCTCGCCAGAAGAAGCGAGGCTTCGACAGAAGTCACGGCAAAGAGCAGCCAGGCATCATCAACAACTCGCACGAATGGAAGGTTGCACGCCAGCTGATTTGCCGAGGTCTTGGGACCATCCAAGACCCCCCACTTTGGAACCTGGCTATCTTGCGAGAAAGGAGGCCGAGAGGGCACAGAGAAAAGCCCAGCGCACCGCTGGATTGGGGACAAACCCCCAAGGAAGTGCAGCGGCTGCTCCAGCTGACGATCCAAGCCACTCTCAGGACCAAGATGGATGGCCATGGAATCAGCCAAGCTCCAACAGCAACCAGCAATGGCAGGGATCAAGCTGGACTGAGGAGCAGTGGAGAAACTGGCGATCCGCCGGATACGGTCAAGAGCGGAACCAGCAGTGGCACCAACAGAACTGGCAGCCAAATTGGAAAGCTGGAGACTGGCAGCATTGGCCGTAAAGCCCTGAGTGAGCGGTAGCCGGGAGCTCCTTCCGGAATTCACTCTAAGTGACCTCAAGATCAGTACAGGGTCCTGAGGTCGCAACTTGCAACTCCTAAGGGGGAATGACAGGCGAAGCCCTGTCAGACCTCTGAGCTGTGGTGCTGACTCAAGTGCAACACAGCCGCGACAAAAGGAGTCGCATTGCATGCGCTTCGCATTCTGTTCAGCAGCTTGAGTTTAGCTAACCACACCTTTCACGAGCACTATTAGCATACTATGAATAGAAAAAGCTTCTTCCTTCTGAGGGTGTTCCTGTTGCCTCTGCCTTTTTGGGGGTTGCAGCCAATCACTTTCGACTGTCCGGCGCAAACCCCCCGCCTCTTGCTCAGGAAATCTTTGTGCTGCAAAAGCGATAGGGGCTCCATTGAACATAGCCCCGGGGAAAAGCGCTTCCCCACCGATTCTGTACACAAAAATATGTCTACTCTGAGATTGTCACCAAGATGTTGAGAGATCTCAACATGGATACGGCTTGTGATTTCAACTTGTCAACCATGTCAACTCTACCACGGGAGTTTCTCAAAAAAGAACGGAACCAATCTTGGACACATTCCTGACAAGTTTTGTGACGGTGACCACAATAGCTGAAGGGGACCTTTCTTCAACACTTCACTAGCCTTCATAGACATGTCAAGTAAGCACTCGCTACAAAAGAAACGCGGGATTGTAATACGATTCCACCGCAGCAGTGGCTCTCTTCTGCTCCAACGCATTCAGTGTGAAGGCCATTACTGTACCTCTCTTTCATATCCTCAGGGCTTTTCAAGGATTTTCCATGATCTCTGCGGATATGCTATTCATGGCTCATACACCAAAACCACTTGACCCTCAAGCTGCAGAACATTAAGTCGTCCCTGCAACTGCGGAAACTGACTTTTATGAGGTAGCGATCCGATTCCTCATTGTTTAGAAGCATCATGTACGGTATCCAAACGTCAACATCCCGATCCCGCATGAACTGCGATGCTCTCCAAAAGTCTGCTACCAACTCCCGCCATGGATGTTCCTTGGGCATCGGCATCCAAAACGGTCCCCATGTCGGATCATTTTTCGACTTGCAGATCCATTCTTGGTCCTTTCACCCCATGTTTCCCCATGGTTCTTCTTCGTGAAGCACACAGTCAAGTCCACAAGTCCTACAGGTAGCTGTCCCCTCCCTGTTTCTTCCAGACCCAGAACAACACCTGGCTAGCACCTGGCTCGAAAACTCCCAGAAAGTTTAGAAAAACCTGACTAAGCAGTTAATCATGATGTTTATATATATATATATGTTTTCTCAGACCTTCTTAGACCGAGTCCATCTAAAGTGTGACCTCTTTGCTTCCTTGTGGTGCTTTCTTCGCTCTCACGCTTCCGGGGGCCTTTCTCTCGGGCTTTCTCGTACTTCTTCCGGAGCTTCTCGGCCACCTCCTCCGTCTCTCGTCGGGCGTGTTCCAGCCACTCCTCGACCGGTCGGTCTTGGTTGACGCGACGTCCGCACCTCCGGTGGTACAAGGCATATACAACTTGAGAGAGGAGGGGGTGAACGAAAGGTAGCAGGCAATCACAAGTAACCCTGGTAGAAGTCCACGACGGCGTGAACCGGCGCAGGGAGGATTTGATCCAGGGGGGGAAAAAATGTATTAAAAATTGATCCTGATAATATTTTACATTTCATATCATAGCAGTATAACAACTCAACAATTATTCATTAAAAAAAAAAAAGCATAACAGTCAAAAAAGTCAGTTTAAATATTGTTGATGGCTTCATTTCCTCTCAACAATATCAAAACATAATTACCTCTTTCATTTTTTCAAAAT